ATCCATTGTTTGTAAGGACGCGTAGAGTGATGAAAGAAAGTTGAATAGAAGACAATAATTCATTTGAATGTTTAACTATTTTCGATCCATGTGCTGATGAGTATAATCTTGATCACGATATACAATTATTTGAAAGCTAGTAAAAAGGCAAAATCCATGATTAATATTAGGTTTTCCATGCATAATGATATGGTCGCTATTTTTTTTTTTTTTTTTTAGCCAAAGCAATCTGATTAGAGTAGCGTGTATGGAAGTGTGAGAACATGGTATGCAAAATCGATGAGTTTTTTATGCACAAGTTTCTTAAATTCATGTGTGAATCAACATAAATTAGAAGGTTCTTCGTGATCGTGCTTTAGTACACGTTACTCTACATTAGAATCTAAGTTTAACTCAATAACATTTGGCAATCAAAATGTTGAAGGGATATGCAAGTTGTGTATCATTTTGAACGAGAATAAGAAAGATTATGTTGTATAAGATTGGTGAATCTGAGAAAATGTAATTCTCTAGTATACGTTCCAAATAGGAAATTATCTTTTATTGATATATCAGCTGGTCAAGTGGTCAAATGTTCAAGTTAAACTGTTAATCTCAATCCCAATATGTATGATATTAGAAGCCTATGTTTAGGCAAATACACGCATACTCTCATATTGCATTTGTTATGAGTGTGTTGAGTTAGTACTCGAGTGCTTAACTACGCCATCCAATATTCGCTAAGAAAGTCATGGATTATCATAAAGCTTACATTTTATGAGCACGTCTAGGATAATTGGAAGCCTTGATTTATATTGATTTAACGGGGGCATATTATTTTTTCATGTATGATAAACATATTGTACAAAGGTTGCTTATGATTTATGTAATAGATGCACGTTTTGGATCATCTTCACTTTATAAATGATATTGTAAGCATACATAATTGCTTGGTAAATGATCGATTTGCAAGAGATATCCAGTACATTATCTATATAATGGAACCATATAAATATTACTCATTATTAGTATTAGCTCTACTTATGTGAGGTTTATATTTTGTTGTACTTTCTTGTCTTCATTTGAGAGTTTTTATGCTTTGTACATTTGCTGAAGGTTGCGTATATATCCTCCTCCATAATGTACTGTTTTCATCATTATTAGTAACATACCCACGTAATGTGGTTTGATGGAAGATGTTTATTGTTCACGAAATTATTTGTTTTGATTTACAACCCACTGCAAGTGTACGGTTCGTTAACAAGTAGTAAAATGGACTATGAGTCCAAGTATCAATCCCACAAGAATTGAATTAGTTCAAATCAACCTATTATTACCTTAACCGAAACTCGAAAGTAAGATTGATGTATTGTGATTTAATTAAGGAAGATGTGAACTATGATACAATTATGAGTGAGAGAATTATATTAAATACAAAATGACCTGAACGCAATCTACGAGAATTTATGGAATTAATGAATTTACTAACGCACTAGGATCACGAATTCCCAAACAACACCCGTTCAACTTTTGATTATGCAAATGTGACACACATTCCCACAATTGACATATTTAAAGGTCTGTCTTACTATAAGCTCCAAAATAAGGGGAGAAATTAGGGTTCTAATGACGTATTGTCGAAAATTTAATGAAATAACAAAGCGAGCAGAAAGAATAATGATATATAGCACAATTGATGTTAGAGCGCCAATCTATGTAACTATATTTTATAAGTTTAATTAAATGAGTTATGTGACTTCGCTTTTAAATGAATTTATTATTTAATGTTACATAATTATAATTAAATTGATGCTTAACACTAATAATGATGAATAGCCTCACTCTAGTAGAAAAAGAGATTCATATAGGCAGCCTCGATTTACTAGTGGATATCTTGTTTTGCTGCCTAGTGTACTAATTTGGCCAAAATTAGTACGAGTAAATAACTAAAAAATATTTCACCAAGCGACTTTCTATATTAAAATAAATAAACAGTTTGAGATACCAAAGCAAGCACTAAAGCAACTGACGATTTTTCTGTCTCTGAAACTGAGTCTGAGTGTTCTCAGGTGAGTCTATTTTCTGTCCTACTTTGCTATAATTTGCCATTTTCCTCTGCTCAAAGAAACATCACATTATCAGAAGCTATTTCTTACAGTGAAATTCACTTAAATACATGTAATACTTAGTGCAGAATTTGTAGGCAAGCTCGTTCCAAGTGGTGATACTTGTGACGGGAAGTGAATCCAGCCATTCAAGTGCTTTATCCTGCAAAGTGTGTAGAAACAATTGCAGTCTTATGGCATCGTCTGAGATATCCGAGTACCTAAAGTGTTGGCACATGTCCAGAAATCGGGATATGTGAGTATGTGTATTCTCACTAACCATCTCGTGGTATTGATGCCCATTCTGAAATAGTTGAATTACATTTGTTTTCAGCTAGAAGTTCGGTTGTCCAAATGCAGGATGCAAAATGCTAGATTGACTCTAGACCACCAACAGTGCCATGAAGTCCCTAGTACTATATTCCCTTCATCTTCAACCCCTGCGCCTTCATTGAGGTGAATTCCCGAACGATTTTGCTCGTTAGCCATCTGTTGTTGTTTTTGGTCTTTTTGATTTTGTTGTGTTGCTCTTGCTTCTCTTTGCCTGTGATGAAATGTGCGTTCAATCTCTGGATCAATGGGAATCAAGTCTCGATCAAGTGCTTTTTGCATACAAGCTCTGAGATAGCACAAATAGCACAAAATTAAATTAAAGTAAACAATAAACTAAGTCTAGTAAGCTAATTACGATTAATCTAGGTAAGTTCGAATTAGTGTCATAACAGATAAAATTAAACTAAATTTCAATCGTCGGTAACGACGCTAAAAATTTGTTCACGAAATTATTTGTTTCGATTTACAACTCACCGCAAGTGTACGGTTCGTTAACAAGTAGTAAAATGGACTATGAGTCCAAGTATCGATCCCATAAGGATTGAATTAGTTCAAATTAATCTATTATGACCTTAACTGAAACACGAAAGTAAGATTGATATATTGTGATTTAACTAAGGAAGATGTGAACTATGATGCAATTATGAGTGAGAGAATTATATTAAATTGCAAAATGACTTGGACGCAATCTACGAGAATTTATGGAATTAATGAATTTACTAACGCACTAAGATCACGAATTCTCAAGCAACACCCGTTCAACTTTTGATTATGCAAATGTGACACACATTCCCATAATTGACGAATCAATATTCCTATTTTAATTTAACAATCCCTCTCGAGCAATGCCAAACATATCCCAATATCTGATTCGACTATATCTCTATGACAAATACTAATATACAGGAATGCATTATGATTTCATGAATATTCAACAATTCACATAAGGCATAGAGGTATATTTCTATCCTCTATTGGACCCTATAATTACAATGTCGAGCCTATTTTCCTTCTTTCGAATGCATAAAACAGATCACCAAAATCATATAATTGCGTGCACAATAATAATATGAAAATAAAAATATATAAATCATTCAATTCCGAAACATGTGATTAAATATGTCAAATCTCCAAATCAAAAATTAAACATAGTATTGCAAGGTTCAACAAATAACAAAGTGACACATGTATGTCATGTAGGACGACCATCAATAGACATTACTAAGAATAGCATATTTTCCAATAATAGTATTTACGCAAAACATGTATTACCTTTGTGCTATTGGTAAAATTCATCACAGTCGGCTGTCATGCTCGTGGTTTTCTGTCGCAGTATCAAGTTAAATTTGAAATTCGCATGACTTTGACATAATTCAATCATAACCATCTGCTAAAGGGTGCAACAATATTGAGAGTTCATTACAATTCATTTGAATTACTAAAAACAGAGATAAGTAAGGGAGTGAAAGAGAATGGAAGCAACCTTAGAACAACTAGACTTTCTTCTTGCCCTTGTTACTCTTCTTGCTCTCATCTTCCCAATCCTCAGTCATCTGCAGTGTTTGTACCAATTTCTGAATGCGAGCTTCCAACCTTGAGTCTCCTTTAGTCAGTATTTTAAAGCCAGACCTGACCTCCTCGATTAGAGCTTCCAGTTGGGTAGCCAAAGCTACACTCTTCTCGTTCATCTCCATCGAGAATGTAGCAAATCCAGTCATATGTGATGATAACACCTCAGATATGGCCTCCCAACAGTTAAGAAGTCTATCAAATGCTGTCTCATGTTCAGCCGGAGGTTATATTTGAGAGGTAGACGCCGTGTGTTTGGTAGTTACTTTCCTTTTGCAAGGCCTCCCTTCGTTATCCAATTCTAACACCTTAATACCTCTAACCATTAGTTCTTCATTCTCAGTATCCATTTGTTTCATCTTGAATTTTTCATTATCTGCATTGGTATGAAAATTGCTTACATTACCACACGTCAAATCTTTGGAATCTAAAGCATCCTTTTGTCCCTCTTTACATGTACTACCATCTTTACCCTGTGATCTCTTTCGAGGGATAGGAATGTCATCCTGTTCGCCATCATCATCACTTTTACCGTATGAGATACGCTCATACATGTTTTCACTGCACACCTTAGCCATGCTAGGATACCACAAATCATCAGGATTGAGAGGTAAGGAATTGGGATCTAGTTCAAAAGAATCTTCTGGAACCAAACATTCTAGAACAAGGGATGTGATTGGAGAACCTAAACAGTTCATTGGGCCATATCAGAAATGAATCCATCTTACTCTCCCTTGTTTGCTGGAATAGGCTCACAAATCCACAAACTTTATCCAAGCAAGCAACCTTTATACCATAACCTGCTACAAAATTCGAGAGAACCTTTACAATTTCATATTTGAAATCTTTAGGATTCTTTTGATTGCAATTCCGTCTTACATCCCAGTCCTTAAAAAGAGCCTAAATATCCCCTTTCCTAGGATATATGACTAAAGAACCTTTCTTCTTACCCTTCTCATAAGTCACTTGATGAGAAAATGAAAAACGTTCTAAAGTGTATCGAGTCTTGTCACATTTAAATTTTTTACAACCAACAGGTAACTCCTTGCTACCCTAATTCGTCTCACCTTCATCTTCAGTTACAGCTTCTAACCAGGTGATTTGCAATCCAAATCCAGGACTATTTACCTTCCTGACCTGAGCATATAATCTTGGCATGACATCTAATGAATCGTAACAAACCCAGATTTGACCAACGGCAAAACAACTTTCCTCTCTACCCTTATTGAAATCATGAAATTCTGGACCAGTACACGTAAATTTTCTCATCTGAATCTGATTGAGAATCATCAATTTCTTCAGTTTTTGGGACACCGGTTCCTGGCATATTACTTGCTTCTCCTCTAACATTGAGTTCTTCATTCTCAGTATTCTTATCTGGCAAGCTTTCTACAGGAGAAGTTCCCATTTGTTTCGTTTTGGACTTAACATTATCTGCATCTGTTGGAAAACTACGTGTATGACCATTACCACACTTCAAACCATAGGTGCCTAGAGTACCATCTTGTTTCTCTTTACTATCACCTGAACCCCGTGATTTCTTAGGAGGGATAGCAAAGTCATTGTGCTCATTGTCATCATCAATTTCAATGTATGAGATATGCTTACTTTGCCGTATTGATCTTGGTACAAAATGAAAACAGTCAAGTTCAGAATCTCTCATGACAGCAGTCGAATTTGACCACGTTGTTTGATATTAATTCAGATCAAAGATTTATCATGAGAACTTCTTTGAATTTTTCTTCGAACTTCATATTGCTTCTTAAACGAAGGATTTGAAAATCTACTTCGACGGTCAAATGAATACCTCTTTACAGGGTGTGAAAGCACTAAATTTGCTTCCACAATTAGCTTAAAAGCAGCTTCTGCTCCAGGAAATCTATTCTTATCAGGATGAAGAACAAATGCAAGTCGCTGGTATTGTTTCTTAATAGTGAATTCATTAGCCAACTTTTCAATACCAAGGATTCTATACCAGTCTATTTCAAATCCCCAAATTGTAAGTATTATGCCCTAAGTCCAATCAACTTTGGAAATAAATATATTTGATATATAATTAACACAATTTAATAGCAGATCTATTATTTATTTAATTGACAATTAAATAAATAATAGAGTCCGTAGATTCAAATTTTCCTAATTTGTTAATCACAAGGAGTTGTGATTGTGAAATACAAATTACATCTGATTGAATCTTAAATCATCCATGGTCGTAAATAATAATGAGATACGGATATCGTTATTACAGATAGATCATCACATGTGACATTTCTTACTTATGAAGTAAGTAGCTGATTTTACAAACTAAAGTGTGGTGACACTTAAATGAATATGTGGATGTTTTATTATAAAACGAAACATTGGGGACCCGTCGAGAGATTCCACGTGGATAACTATCTGAGTGTCAGTGGTTAATCTCTAACGTTCGGTAGTGGAATTGGTCCTTTGACTTGAGGTCGTCATGGTACCTTATATGAGGACAGTCATACTTTGGCGTTGTTGGATGTTACTCTGCAAAGGGCCGCTAATACGACATCGTTCAGGTACGTTAAAAATCATATGAAGGTTGTGATTGACAAATAAAGGATTCATCACTCTTAGATAGTAGGAGATTATGATCTGCGTTTCATTCAATTAAGTCGATGATGAAATCTTTGGCTAAAGTGTACTCATAAGTCGAAAGTGAGTTTTCGACTTATATTGACTTAATAGTGGAGTGAATAATATGATCGATAATCGAGATTGACACACTTCCATATCTTGTAATTGATTGGATCATATTGACGAAAGGATTATAATTTCACGGTAAACGAACGAGTTTGATTTTGTCATACCACGTGATATTTTCCGTCACATGTATTGCCCTGACACATTGCTAGATGTCAATCTGGAACGGCGAGTATGAATTAATGATAAATTAAAATGGTGTTTTAATTTATCAATTTTGATTAGATCAAAATAATATTTCACATCGTTAGGTATCGTGATCGAGAACCTGATGGATCATACACAAAAGAGAATTGGAAGGTTGCAATTTGTCAATTAATTAATTTAACAATCGTTGGATAAATTAATTAATTGGATTAATTATTTATAGACCCGAATTAATTAATTGGATTAATTAATTCACGAACCGGATTTAATTAAATGGATTGATTAAATATTGGACCGGACCGGACCAGGCCCGTTTGGACTTATATAAATATATGGTTAGGGTTTTCAATTCACATGGTTTTTCTCATAATCATTCTTGCTAGTACAAGAAGAGAAAACCCTGGTAACTGCAATTTTATTCACTGTGTGGATCACCGTTGGAGGTTGGACAATTGGACAGCTGTGGGTGACGAATCAAAACTGCTGGAAGGAAAAAGGAAAGCAAAAGGTTTGCAAAATTCTTCAAAGGTACAATCTTTATCATGATTTCTATCTAAACACAAAGGAATCCTCGGTGAGAATCGAAATAATTTTAATTTTCCGCTGTATATGTATAAGTAGATTCCCAACACAAATCTCATTTTTAGCAGCGCAGTGAACATTACATACGGCCAGCACCTGAGTTATGTTCTCAAGTTTAGGATAAAGATTTTGCGCTTTCAAAGCAAACTTTCGTGCCCCTTCAAAGTCATTTTTCCCCATCTTCTCTCTGAAATCTCTTTGGCTCGGGCAGCCTCATCTTTATTGCACTCCATCTTTAATATAAAGTAGTAATAAGAAAGTCCAGTAACCAAATTCCTCGAGCAGTAATATACAGAACTGCAAATTATCTTCCTGCTCAAACTAGAAAACTCTGTAATGATGCTTTCTTAGGCTTAATAAATGGATTGCTTATACAGTATATAAAGCTTCTAATTAAAGTTTCCATCAAGATAACGACTTTCGGGCTTCCCAACTATGTACATGACAAGATCACAGAACCAAAGAGGTATAGAGCTTAAGGGCAGGGACAGGAAAAAAAATAATAAAATGAAATCCATCAACTTATTGCAATCTTTATGATACTAGGAAGTAGAAGCATTCGACTCATGTTCCATAAGGTAATTCAATAAAGTAACAATCTTGTGTAACTTGCAAAGAAAACAAAAAATAATTCAAAGTTACAAATATCTACTCCTTTACAAAAACCAATAAAAAAAATAAAATCATCTCATTTCAACATGCCAACATCAAACCAAAAAATAGAAGCATTCGTTCTAGTTCATACAAGTCAAAACATTGTTCATATTTCTCCAAGCAAAGGTCAAACTAAAAATTGTTCTAGTGCATGCTATGTTTCTGTGAGTTACCTGTTGCCTTTGAGTTGCCGGTTCCGTCGAGGAGTTCCTTCAATATTGAAATCCCGGTTTTGCCGGCTTAGGAGATGAAGAGTCTTTATTTTGTTTTTTGTTTTGTGTACAGTGGGTCTATTGGGTTGCCCATTTCCCTCATTTCAATGTGATCTCAGGATGGTTTTATTGTAATTTTAATGGCTTATTGACTTCAAAAAAAATTGGGTTTGAGGTTTGAGAGACTGAGTCTGAGATCACGAAATAAGAAGGAAAATTGCATTGTAGATCTTTGAAACAAGTTAGTTCCCAACTTTTAAAAGAGAGCAAGTTGATTCGTAATGTTTGAATTATGCTATCCAGCACCAATAGTGTTACAGCACAAGTCTAATGTCATAATGTGATAGATATAATTGAAGGTGAAATTATATTATTCATTTACTTGTGCCTATCATTTAAATTTAATGTTGTTGGTCCAAGGTCGGGGACACCTCAGCCCTTGATTTAAATCACATGGACCTAGATGAAGGGCTGAGGTGGTGACACCTTAGCCCTTATTTTTTAGCCTGTCCCTAATCTTGATTAGGTAGCACAACTCATCATTTAATGTCACTTAGGTGTAGGGGTGTCAACGAGTCGAATCGAAACTCCCAGCTCAGGCTTGGTTTGAAGTTTTTTTGGCTCAAGCCGAGCTGATCAAAAGCTCGACCAAAAAATTAAGACTTGACCCCAGCTTTCGGCTCGGCCTTGTCAAGCCGAGCTTGCTCAAATTTTTATTTTTTAACCTTCCCTTTGTTGCCTGTTGGACAGCTTTTTTTTTTTTTATATACATTTTTTATTTTTTTTAAATGCGAGCCACACAGGCCGGCCTAGGCTCGAGCCAACTCCCCAAAATGGGGCTCGGTATCTTCGAGCCTTGAGCCATGCTGACCGGCTCGAGCTTTTTCAGGGCCAAGCCACGAGCGATTTGAGCAAACAAGCCCGATTGTCATCCCTACTTAAATTCCACTTAGATCAATTTTGTAACACTAGTAGTACTAAATAACATTACTCGTAATGTTTTGTTATAGCTGTACATTCTATCTCTAATCATGGAAATCATCTCTAATGGTTGTGAAAATGTGTCACTTTTTAGCATCGGTTTAAGTTGAGAAGTAAAACATAACTTTATAAACTTAGAAAAATGTGACTGCACAACAAATCTTAAATTTATATAATCGTATGCCAAATTAAATTTCAAAAAACGTTGTGAATCATAACTATCCATACTTCTACGAGTAAGGACCTAATAATCCTCAACCCTTTCAACCTTTATACATGAAAGCCAATCTTAATTGACACAAGCTACGAAAATATCTAGAAATGCCTTTAATACAATCTCAATTGGCATGGAACTATTCTCGAGACACATTTAGTATCGAATACATACGCTCCAGCCTCCTTTTGATTCTTCAAAACAGAAAACACTTATCTATCGATCCATTAGCTAATAAACTAGGATTATACTACACGTACATTAAGGTGTCCATAATGAAGAAAGGTGGATACGTCATTACGTACAAGTAGCATATTCCAATAAATTATAGCCGTTCGCATGTTCCAAACACTATCCTCCTGCAATATATGCCTTCAAGGATATCCTAGCAGAAGAAAAAGAAAAGATCATTTTAAGTTGCATACTTGTACATGTCCAATAGATCTTTACATCATCTAAGAAACAGACCTAACCGAAGATTTGCCACAAGGCAAAACACAAGGTTCAACCTCTATCTGGAATGAAACAGTTACAATTAAAAAAGTAGATAACAATCAAAGCAATATGTTAAAATACACATGGCGAATAAATTATTTCTAGTAACAGTTTCAGGTCACAAGGATTCAAGTTCCTCAACTACATCTTCCATATATTCTCCCTGGAACTGTGGCTGAATTAAAGCTCCCAGCTTGCAAAAAGAACTTTTCCTTACCAGTGAACTGGAAAGCAAAACCCCGCATTAAATTTACTATAAAATGGAAGTTATTTGGTGTTTACTGTTTAGACATTTTCTCAACAATCATCTAAGTCCACAACGGTTTTTGGCATACTCATACTCAGGTGCCAAATTGCTTTTTAGTTGACTTTGGTGGTGAACAATTAACTTCACCATCCATGTTGAATGCCCGCCTTGCCCTTATCAGGATACCATACATCCTCAGGATTTAGAGGTAGGGAACTGGGATCAAGTTCAAAAGAATCTTTTGGAACTTCGCTTCTTTCAGCGCCAGTCATTCTGAAAAAAGGAATTCGATGAGAGAACCTAAACAGTTCGTGGGGCCGTATAAAGAATGAATCACTCTCGCTTTTGCCCGTTCGCTGAAACAGGCTAACAAAACCACTAACTTTATCTAAGCAAGCAACCTTTACACCGCTACCCAAAATAAAATCAGAGAGAACTTCCACAATTTCATATTTGAATTGTTTAAAATTCTTTTTGTTGTAACTCCATCTTATATTCCAGTCCTTGAAAAGAGCCCAGGTCTCCCCTTTCCTAGGATATATGACTAAAAAACCTTTCTTCTTACCCTTCTCATAAAGCACTTGATGAGAGAATGTAAGACGATCTAAAGTGTATTGACTCTTCCCACGCTTAAATCTGCCACAACCAACGGGTAACTCCTTTCTAGCCCAATTCTTCTCAGCTTCATCTTCCGGATCAGCTTCTAACCAGGTAACTTGCAATTTAAATCCAGGACTAACTACTTTTTTGATCAGCGCATAGAACCTTGGCATGCCATCTAATGTATCAAAACAAGCCCACATTTGATCAACAGAAAAACAACTTTCCTCTTTAACCTTGTCAAAATCATTAAATTCTGCATCAGGACACTCAATAAATTTAGCTTCTGAATCTAATTGAGAATCATCTATTACTTCAGTTCTTGTATTATCTGCATCAGTACGAAAACTATTTGCATAACCACTTTTCAAATCTTCAGTATCTAGAAAATCCACTTGCTCTTCTTTACTATCACTCTGTGATCTCTTTGGAGGGATGGCAATGTCATTGTTGTCATCATCAATTTCATTGTATGAGACATGTTGCCTTTGCCGAGTTGATCTTCGTACAAATTGATTACCATTAAGTCCAGAATCACCCATGGTAGCAGGATCTCCAAAATTTTCCTCAACAGCTACATCTTCTGTGTTAACACTACTTGATGTATCACAACTCTCACTAGATTCCCCTACCCTTTTCCTTCCCCTCTTCCCGTTTTTGTTTTTCAGATCTGATTCTCTAGTCATCGCATCACCATTGGGCATTCTACCACTCATTGAATAAGCATTCCAGGTCACATTTTCTTTCATTTTCACGGCCCCACTGACTTTGGCAGTGCTGTTGGTCCAAATACCTGATTCTGATCCAAACGGTTTAATATTAGCACTCCCCTGAGATCCTGCACGAGGAGCTGAGAATCTGGTGTTACTTTGCACACCCATCTTAGGGGCACCCTGATTTGGGATCTCAAATTTTGAAAACACGTGTTGAGGACTGGATTGATTGCATTTAGATCCTAAGGAAACGCCTTGAGCACCGATACCATAAGCAATAAAGGCTTTTAAGCAGTAAGGGCACCGCAAAGAACTACTCACATTTTCTTTCTGGCACGGGAATTTAATAGTGCAAAACGGGCAACTAGTCCAGAACATTCGCTGTCCAACAGTTGAATTGAACCCTGTTGCTCGGTGATGATTCAGACCGCTGAATTTATCAGCATAACAGTTCGGAAATTTGTTTTGAAATCCATATTGTTTCTTTAAAGAAGGATCTATGATTACGTCATGAGGAGGTTGATTTGATGGAGTTGATCTAACTGAAACTCTAATCTTACTTTCGAATGAAGACCTCTTTGCTGGGTCTGTAAGCACTAAATTTGCTTCCCCAATCAGCTTAAAAGCAGCTTCTGCACCAGGAAATCTGTTTTTATCGGGATGAAGAACAAGTGCAAGTCGTCGGTATTGTTTCTTGATGGTTATTTCATCAGCCAACTTTTCAACCCCAAGGATTTCATACCAGTCCTTTTCGGATCCCAAAATCCTATTTTTAGCAGCACGGTGAACATCACATATGGCCAGCATTTGTGCTATATTCTCAAGTTCAGGGTAAAGATTTCGTGCCTTCAAAGCAATCTTTCTTGCCCCTTCAAAGTCATTGTTCTCCATCTTCTTCTCTGCAATCCCTTTGGCTCGGGTGGCCTCACCTTTATTGCACTCCATCCTCAATGTGAAGTAGTTTCAGGAAAGTCTATTAGTCAAATTTTTCAAGTGTAAAAATCGACAGCACTACAAATTCTCTTCCTAAAAAAGCCAGATAACTCTGTTGTTCCCCTCAAGGCAAACATGTACCCAGATAGTTACAATCTGCAGATATGCAAAAAAAAAAATTCTATAGGAATTACTTTCAAGTCCAATCATAATGAAGACTACTTTTTTGTCTTAGAAAAATGAAAGAAATGAAATAACAACGATTAAGCAATAATCAGCAAACAAGGAAGCTTTCTTAAGATTAATATAAGCAAAAGAATTTGAATGATTGCAGCGTACTTAGATGTCGATAGAAGAACTCTCAGGCAACCCAACAATGTAAGATAAGATCCCAAAATCAAAGAGGAATGGAGGTTAACCCAAGGCACAGAAACCTTACAAAGAAACAAATAAGAATTCCATCATCATATAGAAATCCTTAGGATACCAAAAAATCAAAGCAGTCAACTCATGTTCCATCAGAGACTCTAATTCTCACAGCTGCATTTTATGATTATAAGATTCATCTTTACAGTAAATGGAAAAATCATTTTTATAGATTTCCACAAAGATTTTGAACTCGACTCTCTGTCAATGTATAGATGAAAAAAATCATTTTATATAGGTTTCCACACATGTTTTGAACTCAACTCTTTGCAAGTAATGCAGAGACTAGCGCCGCTTGCTGTTAGTATGTCCCATATTAAAATTTGAAATTTATTGTCCATGTCAGTTGTCACAAACATTTCCTATTTTGCAAACCAAGGCACTGTTCCTATTATCTCCTTTTCAACAGTGTTTCCATTGTTTAACCACAAATATGCAGACAGTAAATCAAGAAATAGAGCAACATGAGAAAATACGCTTACTCAGAGACAAGGTGAAAGGTGGCGGGAGAAAAACACCAAGGGGAAGAATGTGATCATAAAAATAGTTCAGAAGAAAACTCTGGTTTCAAAATCTTGATCACTCTACTAAACATGATTTCAAGTTTGACCAGTACAAGAGGGGGAAAAAATAAGGTAACTAGGTGCATTTTGCTTAACTTCCATAAAATGCTGGAATATTTTCACTGAACCAGATCTTTCTTTTTCTTCTTTTTAACTTTCATTTTGTGCATAATCCCTAAATATGATTTCAAGTCTGTCGAAAAAATAAAAAATAAAAATTCAGGTAACTTGGTGCATTCTACTCAACTTCCATAAAATGCTGGGTTATTTTCACTGAAACAGATTTTTCTTTTTCTTCTTTTTGACTTTCATTTTGTGCATAATCCCTATTTGTGCTCTTCATTACAAAATTCAGGGTACTTTAATGAGGTTTCCTCATTATAGGAAGCTCACAAGTAAAGTTGTGTTCGCCTTAATCATGTTACATTTTGTGTCTAGTCAATTACAGATTTTTAACATTTAAAGTCTTGTTCTCCCCTTAATCATCTTATGGTGTTGTCTAGTCAATTTTATTCTTTTCTTGCTATTTGTTTGGCCATATATTTTGTGAAGGAACAAAACCAACAATAGAAATTTACCGTTATTGTCATTCCACAGACCAAAAGATCAAGTATGCATCAACAGGATACCTCATCCAATTCTAAGACATTTGGGAACTCAAATTGATGGGACCAAAAACACATATAAGGTAGGGAAAAAACCGTGTCCAAGTAAATTTCTTGTACTTGTACTACTATCTCACCTACTATTTCTATCTAAAAAAAAAAAAAAGGAATCTCAAATCGAATATTTAAGCACTCAACTTATGATTGCAGATCTATTAACAAGCTAGATCAAAGACCTTTAAAGAATATAATGAAAGAATGAGTCCTGAATTTAACTGTGATATTATACATTATGTAATTAATAAAGACACCTTTGTATTTCTAATGTTTCATGTTTCGTTCACAGTATACATGAATGAATGATAACAAGAATGGTATAAAAGATATTACAATTAGACCACATGAATGCTCTTTGTTTATACATCATGTGAAGTTAAGAATTATAAGAGTGATACGCTAAAGGAATGATATGTTGAACTAATACTGTACGACCTCCTTGACTCTCTTCAGCTTTTAGTTTGACCATGTTAAACATTGTGACCCCATTAAGAAAAGAACTTAACAAAATAAGTGCATTAATTTTTTGTTCATTAAACTATAATGAGGAATATTACATGAGCCAAATGAAATTAAAGACAGTTGTAAACAAATAGTTCTAATGCAGTTAATGATATTTTACTTATATTTGTGTTTCGCGCGGGTTCGTCGCTAACAATTAAAAAGGGATCAGACGATTGTGTAAGGGACAAACCTCTTGAGACAAAGTCCCAAAAAGAGGTGTTCTTTATTGGCGATGTCTTTACAATCGGAAGGTAAAAACAGAATGCCTCCAAGAGGCGAAAGCACACGAGTTACTAAAAGAAGTGTTTAAATTTAAACTAAAAAATTTAAAATTACATGTTTTCTGTTCGAGAGTTTTTTGATTCGGGATCCTTTGCTCTATGTCTTTTTTTCCTTTTATACTCCCTGGATGATCTCTTTGTGATCAACCGCCTAAAAACTGCTTGATCGTTCTATAACTGCCACTTTCCTCGTAATGGCCAACTTGTCATGGAACTGCATTTTTTAACTGCTGCCATTACTCTTTGTCGTTCAACCGTTTTCGATTGAATTCCTTGAATCGTGGAACGTGATAGGACTGTTAAATAACTGCTTTGATAATTGCGCTTCTTGATAATCATAACACTTCATGTTTGCTAAGATCTTGGGCGACTCGAAAGTTTGGGCGAGAATAGAGTAGCAGCTCTGAACGACTGCATGGCATTCCATTCGCTCAGATCCTGGGCGACTTGCAAGTTTGGGCGATGGTGTTACCACGTTCACGGGCCTCTCTATTCGGGCCTTCATCCTGAATTGTCTGATTGTGCTTCATTCTTTGGGCTATCTGATTTGGGGATCCTCCAATTGGGCTTCATTCCTTGGGCCGCTCGATTTGGGCTGAATTTTTATGTGTCAACAGTTACCCCCCAATATGACAGAATTAATACCAATTATTAAATTTTGCCATATTCACTTTTGTGTTTCCAGCAACATTCGAAATTCTCAAGAATTTCAATCATTGTTTTCTTCCATAGCTTTGAAAAGGTGCGACGTTTTGCAAACCCTCATAAACCCCAAATACGTCATTTCACTGCACCATTAAATCACGCCTCACTTTTTCGCGCTTCTCTCTCACATTTTTATTGTTCATCTCTTTGCTTCCCTGCTACGTAACTCTGAAAAACCCCATTTCGTCCCTAATGGCTACTTCATAATCTCAATCTGGCGACTCCTTTAATTTTGAAGACTTTCAGAAACTCCTTAATCGTCCATACATAACTCCGAACTTTCTCGCACCTGCCAATGTCGAACTCAATGAGTTCTACCTAGGTCCTTTCTTCAACAATGCAGAGGCAGTCGAACAAGCGGCGGTGGGCCAGCTGTTTCCCTGTACTCAAGGCCCTCCATTTCTAAACTCTCTGCCGCTGGGGCCACTTCGCGAAAGAGGTATTTGCACTTGGCCCAAATCTGACGTAGTTCTCAGTAGGTGGCATGCTCGCCTTGTGGACCATGGTCCTACTAATGCACTTTTTGATAATGCTAGAATTTCTGATTTGCTAGAAATCTCTCTTCAACCCCCTACTTTTGATTCAGCACTTTTTTCTCGATCGCTTTAAGTTTTTGGTCTTCTGAATATAATACCTTTGTTTTTCCTTTTGACCCCATGTCTATTACTTTAAAGGATGCTGGGGCCCTAGTGAATCTGCCACCTTTGGGCGATACCATTTTTCCTGGTATCTTGGTTTCTGGTGACGCCTCAAAGTTTGGTAAAAACCTCACCGAGTTTTATTCAAGCCTGCAAATCCTTCATAACCATTCGAGCGCTGAGCCTTCCCATACTGAGCGAGTGACCTTTCTTCTGGTTTGGCTTTGTAAATATGTTTTGTGTGTGCCAAGCATAAAGCCCTCCCTGAGTTATTTACCCATAGCGCACGAATTGGCGCGTGACAGGCCTCTGAATTTATGTTCTTTCTTTTTGGCTGCCCTCTATAGAGGCATGACTTTTCTTCAAACTCAATTGAAGAATGGTACATCTCCCACTGGCAGTGGACCTCTTTGGTTCACTCAAATGTGGTTGAGATCCTATTTTCCATTGCTTGGTGCTCTATCAATTTCTCGTCTTTCTGCTAGCTGCTATGGGCTAGCCATTGAGCCCCTGGCTCCTGTAAATATGTCTAGAAGGGATATTTTTTCATTTTTTTATTCTTTGGATTCAATCCCTTCCTTCTTTCCTTTTCCTCCCTTTTTGACTCCAGACTATGTGCATTCTCCCTCCACTATAGACAGCGTGAGTACCTCTCTACTCATTTGGATCCACTTTTTAACCGGGAGGGAGTTATTTCATGATATTTTGACTGGGACCAATGCCAAGGCAGGGGTAGAAATATATGCTCCCCAATTTTTTGCTCGCCAACTTGGTTTCGGCCAAACCTGGCCTGTTCCTCCTTGCTATTCAAGGAACTTGATAGACCACTTTCATATTATTAATAAGGCGGAGGCAGAGGTTATAAATGCTCGCAATCTTCTTTTGACGAGCCATTTTTCATTAGCTTCCTTCAATTCTAGCCGTGCCGTCCATCGCCTTTTTGAACAGTTCTGGCTGTCAGTGAAGCGCAGATTGTTTGCGACTGATGCCAATCGTGCCTTTCATTCGCTGGACCAACCGAGCATTTCTTTCCCTCCTCCTGTTTTAGTCACCCCCTTGTCCATCCGGAGTTCTTCTCCTCCTCGTCACGCTAAACAGCCTGCTCGTCCATCTTCTTCTCTCCCTACCAAGCCTACTACAGCCAAAAGTGCCCCGAGCCACAAACGACCAACCTCAGCATCTACCATTCTGGATGATGATGTTGATGATGATGATGATACCCCTCTTATCATCAGGAGGAATGTAATTAAATTGGTTTACTCACAAGCATACTTTTCCATACTTGAAACTTTTCTGTGTGTTGATGATTTATTTGGACTTCTCAGAAAAGTTCAACCGCTCCTTTAAAGGCTTTGGTATCGGCAGCTCCTGCTCCAT